CATGGCTCTATTGATTAAGAGCTTTTGTGTATTCATTTATAACCATACTTGGAGAAATTGAAGAGTTGTATTATTTTTGTCTTGTCATATATTTGGTGCTTATTGATTTAAATTATAAATGCAAAAGAGGGCAGGGAACTACCCGCCCGCCCCCTCTAAGCCTTGTAGTTATTGCTAATGACAATGGTGGTAGAGTAGAGGAGAATGTCATGGGAAGAGAAGTAAAAAAATATGCAATAGGATATTGGAAGGAGCACCTGGATAGATTTTGAAGTAACTAAGAGCTTAATTTAGAATTTAATTAAAGTTTTAATTAAAAGTTAAGATAGCAAGTGAGTTTCTTAAATATACAAGTTTGCATCTGTCTTTTAAAAAAGCAAAACCACGAGAAAACATGCAAATAATTAATAAGTTGACTTTTTAAAACTTAAAATATTTCTCAATTTACTTTGGAGGTCGATGTTGTTGATCCTGAGTTGTAAATTCATTTCTTGGTTCCATGAAACTTAAACACAAAGAAAATTTCTACAGTCCCATATGAATCAAAGACTGAGAAAAGTCATTTGTGTTAGATCTTAAAAATGTCTTTGGCAGTACTTCAGTATTCAGAAGTGTTGGAGAAACTTTGGCAGCAAAGCAGAGCCATAGAGTAAGACCAAACTAGGACAGCAAAGTCATTATTCTGCTTTTTAGTGAAGAAAGTATTTTTTTAAACAGTTGTGACCTTTGGTGTTATACCAAAAATACCTTATTGGGACTTCATTTGGATGCAAGGCTGTGTCAAAGTATTTAGAAACACAGGATTGAATATTAAGTAGTGACTTCTGAAAAAATTATAACATTTTAAATGCATAAATAGTTATTTTTATGCCAGTTTTAACTTTTTTGTTGTTTTCTTAAAAAATACCAGCTTTAATTTAAAATGTTTTTCATGTGTCCCCAAATGAATATGGTAAAATAACTTTAAACACCTTACAAATTTAAAAAATAATTTTAAAGGATGCAGAAAATAAGAACTTTCTTAAATTTAAATATGAGACGATAAAATGGGAGATATATTTCACAGAAACTGTGGTTAGAATGAATGTGTTGGAAAAAGAACTGAAGGAATAAGTAAGGCAATGAAATGGATAGTGTGTGTGTGTGTGTGTGTGTATATATATATATACATATATATATATTTTATATGTTTTAAACATATTTTTATTTATTTATTTAATTTATTTCAGAGAGGAAAAGAGAGAGATAGAGATAGAAACATCTGTGATGAGAGGGAATCATCGATTGGCTGCCTCCCACAAGCCCCGCACTGGGGATTGAGCCAGAACCTGGGCATGCACCCTGACCGGGAATCGAACTTTGACCCCTGTTCCATAGCTGAGCCATGCTGGGTGGGCCCAGGATAATATTTGACCAGGTGTCTGGGCAGCATGGCCTAGCCAAATTGACACATAACATTATATCACAGTCAGTTTTAGTGGAGTTTGAAACTATTTATTAAAAATGTAAAGATGCAGTGTTTTCTGATTAGTTTGTAAAAATCACAGCCTGACATCATGGACATTTAGTAGCATATTTTAACATAGACCTTTCCACATTGGTGGGTAAGGTTGATAAAGGAATTGGAAAATGCAGTCAGCAGTGAACTTTTTCCCTCAGCTCTTTTTATTTTTGTGAAGTGTCATTTGTTTCCCAGCTGTGACAATCACTAGAAACTAAATGTCACCGTTTAAAGCCAAGGCCTTTGGATTGCTTTCCTTTAAGTATTAAACCAAGATTTTAGAAATAATGAGTCATAGTCAAGTCATTGCTCTCACTAAAATTGTTGTTAGTATTTTAAAAAGTCATGGCCGAGAGGCTTTTGTTTGTTAAATAAGTAAAAATAATGTTTAAAATAAAGTTTAAAAATAATGTTTACCTCATTTTTTGTGGATTTCATAATTTCATAATTTAATAGTACAGTGTATATAAATTAGAAATCCTATATAATAAAACCCTAATATGCAAATTGACTGAACAGCGGAATGACTGGTTGCTATGACACACACTGACCATCAGGGGGCAGACACTCAATACAGGAGCTGCTCTGTGGTGGTCAGTCCCTCCCACAGGGGGAGCGCTGCCCAGCCAAAAGCCAGGCTCATGGCTGGCAAGTGTAGTGGTGGTGGCGGAAGCCTCTCCCGCCTCCATGGCAGCGCTAAGGACCCCTTGGGGGATGTGCACCTCTCTGGCATAACCCGGCAGGTGGACATCCCCCAAGGGGTTCTGGACTGCGAGAGGGTGCCAGCCGGGCTGAGGCCCCTCCCTACCCCCCCAGTGCACGAATGTTGTGCACCAGACCTCTAGTCCTATCTAATGAAGCGGGAATATGCAAATTGACCGGCACACCATCACAAAGATGGCAAGGCCTACAGTGGACGTGGGGTTTCCGTAACACAAGATGGCTGCAGCCACAGTGGAGGCTGATTTCCCGTAACGAGCCTTAACGAGCAATCAGCAGGAACCTGAGGCTGTGTGATGCTGGGCCAGGGCAGGGGACCTGAGGCTGCACCCCCTGCCTGGTGGGGCTTGACAGGGGACCTCAGGCTGCGCACCCCGTCCCAGTGACAGGCCGGGGATCTGAGGGTGCGCTGGGGGACCTGAAGCTGCGGCCCCTGCCCGGTGTGCACCAGGGGACCTGAGGCTGTGCCCTCTATCTGTAGGGCTTGGCAGGGGACCTGATGCTGTGTCCCCGCACCCTGTGGGGCTTGACGGGGGCCCTGCGGCTGCGCCCCCTACCCTATGAGGCTTGACGGGAGTCCTGAGACTGCACCCCCTGCCTGGCGCCAGGTCAGGGGACCTGAGGCTGCGGCGCCCCCCCCCCCCGCCCCCCCGCCCGGCAGGGCTTGATAAGGGTGGGGCCAGCCGGGTCTGGATCTCGCTCAATGGGGGTGGGGCCGGCTGGGTCTTTGGATCTTGCATGATTTTGAGCTGCTGCAGGTAGGCAGGGACTTGACTCTGGGTCCCATGGCGTGCCCCAGACTCTGAGAGGAGGAAGCTTTTCATATACATTTTACTAATTTTCTTTAATCTCTAACACTTCTATTATAGAGAAAGGGCAAATAGCAATTTTTTTTTAAAATATATTTTATTAAATTTTTACAGAGAGGAAGGGAGAGAGATAGAGAGTTAGAAACATCGATGAGAGAGAAACATCGATCAGCCGCCTCCTGCACACTCCCCGCTGGGGATGTGCCCGCAACCAAGGTACATGCCCTTGACCGGAATCGAACCTGGGACCTTTCAGTCCGCAGGCCGACGCTCTATCCACTGAGCCAAACCGGTTTTGGTACAAATAGCAATTTTAAAATATTTTCTCTAATTAATCCCCTTTAAAGTGCATGAATTTCATGCACCGGGCTACTAGTATACTTATAGTAGAAGTATTTGTTCATATTTTTTACTGATAGGGGAGAGGGTTGTAATAAATTTGGAAATTTCAGAAGATAGAGAAGTATAATATAAAATTTGCTGAGGAAGATATGGAAGTTCATAGGTAAATAACTAATGTGATTAAACCATGGGTAATTTAGGAAAGAAACCTAGAATATAGAAAAAAAATGGTATTTTAATTTGTTATCAGCATTGTAGACTTGAGCTATGGGTGAGGGAGACAGCATCAAGTTATTAATTTGGAGATTGTTATTAAGGGATAGGAAATGATGGTTTCTTAGGCAACGGGTAGCAAGAAACTGAACCTTTTTGGAAAAATGAAGGATGATTATTTCAACTTCAGACTATTCTTTTTCTTGCACTGTTTTTTTGTTGGGGGTTTTTAAATTTGAAAGACATTTCCAAATTAAGTTTACTGAACAGTGCATCTTCTTGCTATTTTCAAGTCTACTTAGAAAGCCAAATGATACTGACAAAATTGTATGAAAGAATAGAATTAGAGTGGTAATACCAAACTATAATAGGCAGATAAATTGTATCGCTGCTGTTTAGAGAGTATTTACTTTTACCAGTGGAATTTTAAAATGATTTAAGGAAATAAGATAGGGAAAGAGATAAAAAGCAAAGACTTGGAAATTCATATGTAAATAACAAATGTGATTAAACCATGGGTAATTTAGGAAAGAAACCTAGAATATAGGTAGAAATGATATTTTAATCTGTTATAAGCATTGTAGACTTGAGCTATTGGTGAGGGAGATAGCACCAAGTTATTAATTAGGAGATTATTATCAAGGGATAGGAAATGATGGTTTCTTAGGCAACGGGTAGAAGGAAATATTTTTTGAGAATTGGAAGAGCCTTGTAAGATTTATTCGTACAGTATTAGTATTGTGTGTATTGCATTTCAGAACATTTAATGACATCGCTATAATCCTGTTGAGGTCGGTGATGGGACTCCCATATTAAGATGGAAAAAGTTCAAACAGCCTTGGTAACTTGCTCAAGGTCAGACATCTGATAAGTGTAGAGCCCAGAATATGAACCCAGATAATATTTGATTCTGGTCAGCCAGTTTTCATTGAGTGCCTGCTGTGGTACCAGGCAAGCCATGGTGCTAATACCTTGGTAACTCAGAGTTGAGTAATACATGGTTCTTGCCCTCAATATAGTATATCAAATGAAAAAGATAGGAATTTTTAGGGAGCCTTGGGACCCAGATAAAGGCCACTTATCCCAATCTGTGAGTTTAGGGCCATTTTCTGGAGGATAAAGTATCTGAACTGAATCTCAACAGAGGAATAAAAGTGCAAAAAGGTGACTAGGGGAGGGTGTTGCAGCTAGGGAGAACCACATGTGTAAAGGCCTTTAGCATAAAGTAGCATGATTCATGCTGAGGAACCTATTTCTGTGTAGGACTTAAAGGATGTGGTGGGTGCGGACCCGCAGAAGAGCCTAGGATTTTTTTCCCCTCTTTTACTTCTTTGCTTCTCTGGATGAATATTAGAAGCTAGTTAAAGCATTTGTGGATAAAATTAGACTTTTTACTGTGCTTTTACCTTTTCTAGGATCAGTTCGACAGCTTAGACAAGCATACACAATGGGGAATTGACTTCTTGGAAAGATATGCCAAATTTGTTAAAGAGAGGATAGAAATTGAACAGAACTATGCGAAACAATTGAGGTAAGTTAAAATTTTTTTCAATTCTCAGAAGTGAAATTACATGTGAAAATAGTTGGGTGTGCCCTGGCTGATGTGGTTCAAGTGGTTAGAGTGTTGGCCCACTCACCGAAGTGTCACAGATTTGAATCCCGTTCAAGGACACGTCGCTGGGTTGTATGTTCGGTCCCAGTTGGGGCATGTGTTGGAGGCAACCAATTGATGTCTCTCTCATATTCATGTTTCTCTCTCTCTCTTCCATCCCCACTCCCTCCCTTACTTCCACTCTCTCTAAAAATCAATGGAAAAAATATCCTCAGGTGAGGATTAACAAAAAATAAATAAACAAAATAAAAATAGTTGGGTATTAGGTAAATGTGATATACTAGAAGTTAAATTCTGTTTTTCATTGAAGTAGATTGAATTAGGTAACTGGCTTGTTTTAATTACCGATTTAATTAAATCATAAGTAGCTTCATTCCGAAAGATACTTAAAATCCTAAAGTCAGGAAGCAAAATGCCAGTAAAAAGAAAAATTCCTGGTATAAATTCTGTACTTTACAGTTTTATTCCTTTGTAGTTTTTTGCTTTAGTAATCTTTCTAAAGCATTGAAGATTTCTTCGGTTTCTCATTTTTTTTTAAGTTTTTATGACTTGGAAATTGAATGTGCTTAGCTGAGTTTCTTTCTGTCAAAAATCATATATATTACTGATTTTGGAATATGTGCCAGAAGATAAAAGTTTTAAAGGGAAAATTTTAGTCTTAAAACAAATGGAATTAATTTCAAGATTTTGTTGTAGCAGAAGATCATTGTTGGACCACAATTTGACAAGTAGTTTTGCTGGAACTTTTAAGAGAAATGGTACTTGAAGCCTGAAGACTAGACACAAATCAGTACAAGGTTCTAGGGATGGGGTTAGGATTCTTTATATTTCAACTGACAGAAAATCCAACCTAAACAGGCACACAGACTAAAAATTCCAGGCATGTTTTATTCTGGGGTCAGATGTGTCCAGGTTCCAGTTTTGGATTCTACCTCCCCTTTGCTGCCTTTATCCTCAGGTTCCACTCAGTAGTACCATTCCTTTTGCCCTCTTAGCTCTAGATTTCATATCTTTATATCCTTACATCCTGGTGAGGAATAATTGTTTTTTCTCTATTGTGCATTTGGGGAAGGAGAGAGGATAGGGGAGGGGGAAGGAATAAATGAAGGAAGGGAGAAGAGGGTAATAGAAGGAAAGCAGAGTGCGAGCTTGTATTAGTTTCTTTTTTCCAGAAGTCCCAGCAAGGGTTTCTCCTTTTGTCATGCTAACCCTGTGTAGGTTACATGCTTATCCTGAACAATTCACGGGGGTGAGAATAATTAGAATGATTTGTAGCTAATGATAGGGGAGGGCTAGTTACTCAAGAGAAATTTAAGGTAGTGGATAGCAGAAGGAAGGGATTGATAGTTGCATGAGAAACCACATGATAAACTACAATAGTAGTGGTTTATACAATCAACTGACTAGGTTTAGGGATGAAATTAGACATGTATGATGAATAGATTATTAATAACTAGTGACCTGGTGCATGGATTTGTGCATATTGAAAGGAAATTAATTAGAAGGTGGCCACGGGGGGCGGGACTGGGAGAGACTGGCCGGACATGCCCTGGAGCCAGCTGCACCTGGGGTAGTGCTGTGGCTTGAAGGGCGTCTGTGGGGTCCCTCTGGCAGGTGGGTCCCTCAGCCTGGCCTGTGGGGGTTGGGCCGAAACCGGCTCTCTGACATCCCCTGAGGGGTTCTGGAGTGCGAGAGGGCACTCTGTAAAGTTGCTGTTGTTCAGGGTGTGGAACGCAAACGCAAGTGTGCAGTAAACCAGATTTGAGGCCGACAGTGCCCAGCAACAACATAACCCACAGCCGAAGGTGGAATTGTGCGACCCTGTGAGGAATTGGGCTCCCTCTTCTCTGGTTTCAGGGTGCGTACCCTAGGACTGGTGCTGCCAAGTCACTGCAGCTCGGCAGCTCCTGTGTTGAGCATCTTCCCCCCGGTGGTCAGTGTGCGTCATAGAGACTGGTCAGATGGTAGGAGGGACACTTAGCATATTAGCCTTTTATATACGTAGGTGTTTTTATAATGATGCACATACTGTTAGGACATTTACTGAAAGAGTGGCATCTTGTTAATTTCTTCATCCATTTGCTTCCTCTTTTTTTTTTAAAAGCAGGTATTTCCCATTTGAGAATATAAACAGAGAGCCTATTAGCATACTAATAGTAATAGTGATGATATTTCACCTGTCCAGAAGTTACACTCTTGGAACTTTACCCCTCAAGACTCTAGAAGCATTAAGGACCTCTGAAAAGTTAAAATAGCAATCAATATTGTATTCACATGTGAATAAAAATTTTTCCTCATTTAATTTTAAATAGATCTCAATTCTAGCACAGTAAGTTCTTTGGATTCCAACTTTTCCAATAGAAGTGAAGAGAAGAAATACTTTAGGCAATACAGTGATGGCAGTGTGAAATGACGATAAAAAAGATTAAAATATTATTAAAACAGATTAAAAAGAGTTTCCAGTCTAAAGTACCTGTCAGTAAGGGAATGATGAAAAATATTGTGGAATATGCAGTTTAAATAAATCAGGTATACTAGTATATTTAAACTTAAAGGCTATTTACTAGTAATCTATTAGTGTAAAAAGCAAGTTGTAAAACTGAATGTATAGCAAATCTGCTTGCTTATTCTAGTTTTTGAATACAAATTATGTGTAAAATTTGTATGTATTCTCAAGAAGTACAGAAGGATACACCCAAGTTGTTTTATAGCAGTTACCCCCTGGGGAATTGGAGGGGGGATGGTAAGGGAAGGAACTTTTTTTATTTACACTTTTGAATTACTGAAGTTTTTAAAACAATTGTGTGTTATATTTTTGTAGTTTAAAACATTTGTTTTTAAGCAAAGAATGTGGTATACTTCAATAGAGAATCTTACAACAAATTATAAAATAAAAAATGGGTAATTTAGAAGGTACAATTTCAGCAGTCTGGAATATTTAACTGTCCAGGATAACTCAGGCTTCAGGGTTTCAGGATGGCCAAGCTTTTATCAAACTAACAGGACTCTAATCAAATGACAGACTTGTTTGCCTTTCTCTTGGTTTTGTGACTGATAACAATCATTATAATTTTCATTTACTTGCAAAAAAAAATTTGAACACCACTTCACTGAAGCAAAGGTGGCTAGAATCTGCAATTATATGAGAAATATAATTTTGCAGTGAGAAAGTAGAGTTTATTATGCACAGATGCTCTAGATCAGTGCTTTGCACTTTTTTTTTTCTTTGTCCGAAGGGAAGAGGTTTGCCTTGTTTATTTCCTCTTCTTTAATGGAAAAAATTCTTTTGGTTAACTCCCTCCTGTTTATTCTATGCAGAGGACAATTTCTTTCATAGTAGGCAGCTTTTTTTCCTCCTAAATAATAACTATATACAGAATGTTAAACATTTACATTTTAAACATACAAGGTGGGGCAAAAGGTTTACAATTGTGAGTATGAGAAACTCAGAGTTTATTCTTTTTTTTTTTTAATTAAATCTTTATTGTTCAGATTATTATAGTTGTTCCTCTTTTTTTCCCCCATAGCTCTCCTTCACCCAGTTCCCACCCCACCCTCTGCCCTTACCCCTCCCACTGTCCTCATCCATAGATGTACGATTTTTGTCCAGTCTCTTCCTGCACCCCCCACACCCCTTTCCCCCCAAGAATTGTCAGTCCACTCCCTTTTCATGCCCCTGGTTCTATTATATTCACCAGTTTACTCTGTTCATCAGATTTTTTATTCACTTGATTTTTAGATCACTTGTTGATAGATATGTATTTGCTGTTCATAATTTTTATCTTTACCTTTTTCTTTTTCCTCTTCTTAAAGAATACCTTTCAGCATTTCATATAATGCTGGTTTGGTGCTGATGAACTCCTTTAGCTTTTTCTTATCTGTGAAGCTCTTTATCTGACCTTCAATTCTGAATGGTAGCTTTGCTGGATAAAGTAATCTTGGTTGTAGGTTCTTGCTATTCATCACTTTGAATATTTCTTGCCACTCTCTTCTGGCCTGCATAGTTCCTGTTGAGAAATCAGCTGACAGTCGTATGGGTACTCCCTTGTAGGTAACTGACTGTCTTTCTCTTGTTGCTTGTAAGATTCTCTCTTTGTCTTTTGCTCTTGGCATTTCAATTATGATGTGTCTTGGTGTGGTCCTCTTTGGATTCCTTTTGTTTGGGGTTCTCTGCGCTTCCTGGACTTGTAAGTCTATTTCTTTCACCAGGTAGGGGAAGTTTTCTGTCATTATTTCTTCAAATAGGTTTTCAATATCTTGCCCTCTCTCTTCTTCTGGTACCCCTATAATTCGGATGTTGTTATGCTTGAAGTTGTCCCAGAGGCTCCTTACACTATCTTCATATTTTTGGATTCTTTTTTCTTTTTTCTTTTCCGGTTGGGTATTTTTTGTTTCTTTGTATTTCAAATCTTTGACTTGATTCTTGGGATCCTCTTGTCTGCTGTTGGATCTCTGTATATTATTCTTTATTTCAGTCAGTGTGTGCTTAATTTCTAGTTAGTATTTTTTCATATCCTCCAGGGTCTCACTAAATTTATCGGTGGTTTCCAGAAATTTCTTGAAAAACCTTATAACTGTGGTTTTGAACTCTATATCCAGTCGTTTGCTTTCCTCAATTTCTGTCATTTGTGACCTGTTTCTTTGTCTCCGCATTTTTTATGCTTCCCTGTGTTGGTAGAGTGGCTTTGTGTGCTAGGTGTCCTATAGGGCCCAGTGGCTCAGCCTCCCCAATTACCTGAGGTGGACACTCTTGGTGCACCCCTTTGTGGGCTTTGTGCACAGTCTTTTTGTAGTCTTGTTGTAGTTAAGCCTTGATTGTTGTAGTTATCACTGGGAGGAATTGACCTCCAGGCCAATTGGCTGTGAGAATCAGCTGTGTCTGCAGTGGGAGAACTTCTGTGCTGAAGACACCCTTCTGG